CAATGGGGGAGGAAGATGGGACATAGCAGAGGGTGGGGGATGGGGAATCAGGGATGGCAAGACAAAGGGCAAGGTATGCAGGACGTAAGAATTGGAAAATTATTTGCTGAGAACTTGTATGTGGATGTGCTTGATTGAGCCAATGCACAGTGTATTTTGGATGGAAAATTCATTTGTGTGTTGTGATGGTGTAAAAAAAATGAATGAATAAATGAAATAAAATAATTATTTAAAAAATTCTTAGAAAAGATGCTACTTAAAAAAACTTCATGTACATGTTAAAAAAAAAGAAGCTAGGAGCGTGTTATATATACATAACCCTACAACACAGCAGTTAGGCACTGCACAGCAAAAGCCAGATCTCACATGGCTGATTGGCGTTCAAGTCCCAACTCCAGTGGTGCCCACACCAGGCACACTCACAGTCCAGGATCCTAAAGAGATAAAGAACTGCAGGAAAAAGGACTGTAGCATGAGGAGGGTTGGCTGTGGGATGCTTGCCACCCCTCCTACATGTCCCCTTTGACATTTAAAAAAACAAACAAACAAAAACCCCTCAAAAACAAATAAACAAAAAGTTGCTTGTGGCCCAGGGGCTAAGGGAGATCCCATATGCCAACTGTGGTCACCATCCCAGTGATCTGAAAAACACAGGGTACGTATACATGCTTGCCCGAAATTGAAATCCCTCGATCCCTGGAGAAATGCAGAAGGGACTGTGACCTGCTCCATTGAGGAGGGTGTTTTCGTTTTTATTTAGAGAGATTTTTGTGAAAAGGGCATGCACTCAAATCACCCTCTAGGGGGATGGCCACACCACAATTCCTACATTCTCCTTCTGCATTCTGGGCATGCGTACACACGTGCCTAGCTTGAATGTCAAGCCACCAGGTCCAGGACTCAAACTGCATCTGGCCATAAGGGAGTCCAGGGTCTCAGCTGCTATACCACCTGCTGGCCCCAGTGCTCGATACATTTTAGCTGGCTTTACAACTAGGATACTGAAGAGAAGAGATTCATATGACATCAGCTTTGGTTCCAACCTGAGTATCCCCTACCGGCGGAAGAAGAGGTTACAGTAACACACTTGCAGAATAGACTTTCACTTGTTGGCATGAGTTGCATGAAAATGGAATTTGGAAACTCAAAGTAGGCACAAAGTAGATTGAAATAAAGGTCCAGGCCCAGCTGTCATGGTGTAGGCAGTAGGGTGCTGCTGTGTAATACTAGAGTTATTACACAGGGAGGTGCAGGGTTCAGAGCCGGGTTTGACCTAAATATGACAGGCAAACCCCTGGGTGCACCCGGCTGACTGGACGGCTGGAGTGGGGAGACTGTGGCATGGTGAAACTGTCAAGGGTATCTCTCTCTTTCTCATGAAAGAAATAAACTTTTTTTTTTTTTTTAAGTTTTTTGCCATAGGAAGTGTATTTTCCAGAGAGAGAGAGAAACCGTGAGAGGGAAAGTGAGAAATCCCATGCTGGGAGGATGGCCATGCTGCAATCCCTTCCTCACTATTCTCTTCTTGGGATTTTGGGCATGTGTTTACACGTGCCTGGCATGATTTTCAAGCCTCCAAGTCCAGGACTTGAACCATGGTCAGTCATGTGGGAGCGCAGTGACTTAACCACTACGTCACCTGCTGGCTTTTGCTGCATGTGCTATAGGGTATGTGTGCTTGCTAGAGAGAAAAATGTGAGAAAACACCCACCAGGGAAGATGGCCACACCACAGTCCCTTCTTCTCCCTTCTCCTCTTGGCACATTGGGCACACACTCATAAGTAGTGTGTTTTACAAGCTGCCAGCTCTGAGACTTGAATCTCATAGTCAACCATGCCACCACCAAGCCACCAGCTGGTCTAGAAAGAAACTTTTTTTTTTTTGGAGAGGTTTTTGCTATAGGGCACGTGCCCTTGCCAGGAAGACAGAGACAGACAGAGAGACAGAAAGTAAGACACCACCCCACAGGGGGATGGCCACACTGCAATACATCCTCCTCTATTCTCCTCTTGGGATCTTGGGCACGCACACATACGCACCTGGCATGAGTTTAAGTCACCAGGTCCGGGACTTGAACCGTGGTCGATTAAATGGGAGTCCAGTGACATAGCCATTATGCCAACTGCTGGTCACTAGAAAGAAACTTAAAAAAATATATATTTCATTTAATTTATTCATTTATTTTCATTTTGAATGCAAAGAGAGAGAGAGAGAGACAGGAGAGAGAAGGAAAGTGAGAAAGCAAGCCACCAGGTCTGGGACTCAAGCCACAGTCAGCCATGTGGGAATCTAGCACTCTTTTATTTTTTTATTTATTTATTTTTTTTTTGAGAGGTTTTCGCTATAGGGCGCGTGCGCTCGCCAGACAGACAGAGAGAGACAGAGAGACAGAAAGCGAGAAATCACCCCCCAGGGGGGATGGTCACGCCGCAATCCCTTCTCCTCCAT